TGATGTCCCGGGATTTGCTTGAGAAGCATCTATGGATGCAAGCCAGAGTTTTGGAGCCACCCTAATTAAAGTGCCCTACCCCCATCCCTCCAGCACATGTAAATACGACCCAATATTCTGTATTCTGGCTAGTGAGCAAGGAATGCCGCAAGTTGCTCCTGGAACTGTTTGTGGTGAGTAAGCAAGAAAGTGAAAGTTGGATAAAAAAAAGTCTTCTCCCTTCCTGCTTATCAAAGCAAAAAAGCCTACTAAAATTATTGTGTACAGGTGTTCAGTTGGTTTGCTTTTTATTAATGGACAATAAAACACATTCTAATAAAAGAATTGTAGAAGTCTTGCCTGAAGCTTTATTTCCCTGTATTGTCTGGTGAAAAAGTCCAGCAGTCTAGAGTCAGCTATTAAAAAGCCAATGCTAGCATCTCATCAAAAAACTGCTGTCAAGTACTTTGGCCAGTCAATTATGCTTCCCCTTCCATTTAATTGAGGCGTACCTCCTCCCCAAACCATTAACACTTCTCCTAATAACACAGGTCTGGACTGGCAGTGAAAGTCCCCTATTTTACATCTTTAGCTATCTTGCAAAGGTAATTGGGTTAGCTGTTCTTGATTTGGGGGAATTTTGAATTATTCCCATAGACACTTATCAGTCATCACAACCCCATTGTACCCAACACATACACAGTACAGGAACACTCTTTGCTCCAGTATAAAGTTAAGCATCTTGCCAATGAGGTAGCCAGATTGTTGGTATCTGTTCATCCCTTCTGAGAGTTCACTTCATGATAGATACTGAAGCAAGAGAGATATCTTTTATATCTTTGCCCCTTGTTCTACAGTATGATATGGTGCACAGTTATAGAAAACAATCCAATTATAGAATGCAACTTTCCTTGCTTGTCTTATTTTACAAGCATACTTAATTCTAAAAGGAAACTCACAGGGTGGGAAAGCCTTTGAAAGTTATCAAAAATCTGTGAATTAAAACATGGTCTAAAGTCTTACCTTGACACCTCCTACCCACCCCCCAGCAGAAGACTTTTTCTCAAGTTTTTAGAACACTCCATCTGTTGTATAGGACAAATTCTTTCTAATCATATCATAAACTATTCTGAATCCCTCTAAACACACTCTGACATATCTTCAGAAAGGATTATAAACTTAGTTGTAGGTACTTCTGTATTGGATTTCCATTTGCCCAAAAAATGGCAGCAGTAATGTCAGCTTATGCCATAATTACATTTCCTTAAGTTATGTAAGGAAAGAGACTGTTTTCTTCATTCAGCAACATGGTAAGACAACATTCAGTGGTAGAGTATATGGATGAAGTAGCAAGGTACTGGCAGCTCTCCCTCACATTTCTATTCTGATTTCACATATGTGCTCTGTTTGCAGCTAAACCAACAACCCATTTAATTTTAAGCACCAACCTGACTGCCTCTGTTAGGTAAGTATAGACTCCTTGCACTGTATAAAAACATCCTTAAATAAAAACACGTTTTACGTTCAATACAATTGTAGTTGCTTACAGCCCCACATGGTGTAATTATACACAAAAAGATGGTTATACCATTGTTCCTCTGCAGAAGTTTCTGCATGATATTGCTATAAAACATGGGTGGATCTAGAATTTTGAAAAGGAGGGTGCAGATAGTGAGGTCCATAATCACATATAAAACAACTCTTATTTTTCTCTAGTTAACATTAAACTAGAAGCTTCACTAATACATTAGGGGCAATGGGCGCTATTAGTTAAAGATTGAAGGAAGAATAAATATAACTTCATTGGAATAAGTTAAAAACAATCTGCAAGCCTGTGAAATAGGAGCTTCATTACCAGAAACAGCTAGCAGACAGCAGAATTGCAGAACAAGGGATAGCTTGATTGGTGGAACATCAAGATCATTAAAAAGAAGAGAGGGCTGTTAACACCTGTGGAATGAAGAGGTTGGAAGGAATCAAGTAGGTTATAATGAACCATGAAATGTATTGACTCCCTCAGTGCTGCCTGACTAGAAATGCTGCTACCACTGCCAGGCAGTTGGTTTTAAACATGAGTGGAACAGGAACCAAAGGCAGGTGCAAGTGCACCCCTCCTGGATCTACTCCTGCTATATAATTGAAGGCTTCATTTAAAAAATAGTTCTAGGATGCATGCCTATGAAAGGACTTTGTCACCTAAAGTGAGATATAAGTGGAATCTGCTTAAGGATAAGAGTGCTATGCACAGAAGTCTTATCTAATACCATACAACTTTAAGCGTTTGCCGGTAAGGTTTTGCTTCTGCCTCTATCTTGGCAGGGCAATATGGAATGTCCCAATACCTAACTGTGATCCTTAAATTAAGCATTTTTATAGCCAGCTACCATGAGGGGCACAATCTAACAGACATGTTCAGTGCACTCCCAACACACACTTACAGGATTTAATTCAGCACAAACCACAGCTGCCACTGTGCATGTCACTTACAAACATGTCTGGAAGTGGTATTTATCCAGTAACTTAGTAGTTACAGCTGTTGCCTAGAATAAGTGAGATCCTTAGCCTGAGGGGATTTAGATCCACATGTCCCTCCCAGAAGAACTCCTAGCCAGATGGCTGTATTGTCCTGGGGTGGCAATATTCTTTTCTCTTCTTGAAGCTGTGCCACTTTGCAAAAACTTCAGGATTCAGTGGACAAGGGAAAGGAACCTTCTAGCCCAGTGATTAAAGCAGCTACTTAGAAGAGGGAAGACTTGGGTCCCAGTCTCTGTTTCAAAGAATATAAGTGTTTTATGCAATGGCCACTTACATTTATGACCATTTGCTTGTTTGCCTCTCCCAGCAGTGCTCCTTCCCTCTTTCTCTACCACCTTTTGTATTCAAATCACTCACTCAGCTTTATACACTGCTCCACGCTTGTCCTTTCATAGCATCTGTTGAAGTGAGTTTGAGTTCACAAAAGCTTATGCTCTCTATCCATATTCAGTAAATCTATAAGGTGCATATCTACCCTGCCCTCTGCCAGAAAGCACAAACCCTTATAACCAATATAAGTCACTCCAGTCTGGGAGATAAGTACTCCTTAGAAAATGTGGAGTAATTATACACCCATGTAACTTACATGGGGCACGTCTACATGAGACATTTACTGCTGAGTTAACTCTGCAGTAAAACGTGAGGAACTACCAGTGCGGCCCTATGAAGCTGTAGTAAACTAATAAATGCCACCATAGAACAGTACTTGTCAATACAAATACTATCCTGCGGCAGCATTATTTACTCAGCTGCAATGCACATGTAGATACTGACGGGACTGGCTGGAGCATGAGGCTGCTTCAGTATGGGGGGGTTGCTTGCCAGCTAGCCCTCCATTGAAGCACCCTCGTGCCCCAGCCAGCCCTGCTGCAGCACATTGAGCTGGGTCAGAGCAGCCCCAGGCTGGCAGGCTGAGTCCTAGGGCCCCCTGCTAGCTGGGGTGCACTGACCTGGCTCCATGTGCTACAGTCCCAGGCAGACATGTAAATGTGGCATCTGGGAGCAACAAACTCCAGTGCAAACTATGCAGGAGTTTATTCAGTCAAATTAATAGTAGATGCACCCATGGCATACCAATGGTGTCTCTGCTCCCCTAGGATAAAACTGGACCTCGTTTTTCTCCTGGAACAAAGCCTTTTATACTGGGAACCTACAAACATCCAAGTCCTTTGTTCTGTTTTCAGTGGTTGTGAAATAACCACTGAAAACAGTAACCAGTAACACTTTTTCCTGGGACAATCTAGGCTAATTCAAGTTAATTGCCATTCATTCCAGGGACCAACTGTGTATGGGAAGGGCTATGCTGCTCCTATGTTTTGACTTGAATCAATAAGAACCAACTCAAATGCAATGTTGTTTTTACCCCTTGTCAGCTTCTGCTGGAGTAGCTAGCTGTTTACCAAGTAAACTGCCTCTTCTGTCACCTAGTGGCCAGATACTGTAATAATGCTTTCTGTGGGCAGCTGGCTTGACAGAATTGGTTGCATCTGCTCCTTATTACCTAATAAAATCCAGGGAAAATTATACTGTTGTAATCATGTGACATACCTACATTTGTATTCAGTCTATCCAAGAGAAGGGTGAAAGGAAACTTACACATGGAAAGCATGTTTGACACAGAGGCAGCTTTTTGAAAATCACTGACAAAGTCATGGCAGGACCAGCTAAAAGTTGAAATTAAATCAAATCATCCTTGAAATAATCTGTAATTTCTTAGCTGTGACACAAGTCAATATTGGAACCATTTATCAGGGAGGTGGCAAACTCACAACCTCACAGCGTCTTCAAAATGAGGTTAGATGCCTTCCTAAAAGACATGTTTTGGTCCAGTGCTTGGAAAAAGTCTACAGTTCATGTATGCAGTCTAAATGAGCACGGGGGTCTCCTTGTGGTCTTAGAATCAGACCTTATATCAGGCTGGTGGAAAAGCCTGGGAACACATTCTGCAGCTTGTTTCTCCTTGTACAAATAGCGGTCTGGTTTCTCTGGAAGAATTCAGCTTTAATCCAACTTCTTCTCTAAGCTGTAGGGCAGCAGGGCTCTCAAATGTACGAACTGGAATTCTGTCTGACGGTTAAACTGTGTGTGCAAAGAGCTGGCAAAGTATCTCCAACACATATGCCCTGATAAAGCAAAAGTTCTGCCAGGCCCAGTGGCACATTAAGATTTATTGGGACCCTGGGCAAACAGAAAATTGGAGGCCCCCCACCAGGCGAGAGCAGGTATCCTCTGCATCTGCCAGGGGGCTGTGGCTGGGCCTGCCCAGCCTCCTTCACGCATCTGGGGTGAGTCAGGCAGCTGAAGTGAAGGTAGTTCCAGCACTAGCTTGCCCCTCCACCCGGCGGGTGTCACGCAGCCAGAGTTGCAGTCCCCCAGTGCTGCAGGATGGGCCGGGGCCAGCTTTGGGGGGAGGGAGGGGCACGAGCTGCCTGCCCAGGCTTCTGCTGGCCTGGGTGAGGCAGGATGGGGCTATCCCATCGGTCCCAGTGGTGCTGGTGCTAGAGGCTGCCGCAGATGGCAGGGAGCGAGGCTGCCCATGGGGCCTCCTGGCAGCAGATGGCCCCAGGAGGCCAATGTCACTTGCAGGGAGCCCCATGCATGCCCCTAGCCTGGGACTGGCCAGAGGGGAGGAGGCACACTGCCCTGGATGCCTGTGGCTAGGATGTCTGCCTGGACCATGCTGCCCGATTGGCAGGGGCCCCTGGGCTCAGGGCCCAGGCCCGTGCATTAATCCATCTCTGGCCAAGCCCATACATTAATTTAAAGAGATACTTTTCCAGTGAGTAAAAACAGACAAGAGTTTATAAAAGAAGATCTTTGCTCTGGATCTTCTGCTCATTAGACAGATTTCTTCCCCCTGAATATTTAGGGATTACAAAAAGAACAGGGAACATCTTATAATTTAAAGGCATCACAAGTAAATGTTGGGATGGGAAACTTTTAAGCTATTAGCAGATAGTCCAACCATTGATTATGTGAATAAAGGTCTCTTCTTGTTTCCTTGTCAGCTCCTTACATCTCAGTCATATCTGGTCTATTTACTAACACAAACAAATTTTATTTCTGATAGTCCGACAGAGGCAAAAAGTAGGGAAAGACAGACACCCACATTGAATCTGTTCTGTGTCATGTGTCAATTTTGTCAGCTAAGTTCTCCGTTACTGTGAAGGAATTATTTAAGAGGAAGAATACAGAGTTTGGTGACTACAACAGGGCTATTTTGAAAACCTTCTGCAAACAGAGTTATACGCTTTAGTTTACCCATTCCCCTTTTTCTGGTCCCTTCCATGTTACAAGTGCCAACAAGAGGAACCAAGGGACCTGGAATATGGACTGAATATAAGATACAGCAAACACAAACGGATACTAGATAAAGGGAAAAACAAGAAAAATAAACTGAATGGAGTTGCACATGTAAAAACAGGGCAAAATTTGACCCTATATTTTTAAATAGATACAATCAATAAACAGACTTGTTCAACGCAAGTTTGAGGCTACATGGTTCAATGTAATGCTATGCATAGATATCAAAGCTAGCTGTGGGTACCAGAAATGGTACAGCTATGTTAACACAGGTCTATGACTGTGATGATTAGCCCTCATTTTTAGCTCCTGCTATATTAACACAAATAAATTATTTCTAGTACCCATGCTGCTGCATTGCCTGCATAGACATACCCTCACATTTACCATTCTTAGTGAAGTATGATGCCTTGCAATTTTGGAGGGTTTTTTCCCCTATTATTTCCTGGAATAGAACATAAGTGGCAATGGGAAAGGCCAGAAGATTCAATAGAAGGAGGAAGTAAAGTAATAAAAAAGTTGAAAAGAGAAACCTGAGTGAAAAGAGGACAGGGATTCGTAAATATACAAATGCTGTTAGAACTTTCTCACCACAAATTATAATTGGTTGGTGTACTGAAATATCAGTACTACTCTGTTTAGAAAATCAAATGTTGTACTGCTTGCTCTGGTGCTCCTCTCCCCCACCCCACATCTCCCCAGAGGTAGCATAGATTTGTCAGGAGTGCTCCAGAGAAAATTCTGCTTGCAATTTGGGACACTTCTTGTCCCAAAGTCATCCCCTAGGTGAAGAAAGTCCAGTTTTCACCCCATATTCCCAACAAGGGTTTTTCAGTATGGTGTGGTCCCTTGTAACCAGTAATTTACTATAAATAAATGCAGCATACCCTTACTGTCACTACAGTTCTCTTCATCGCTTCCATCCTTACAGTCATTATCTCCATCACACTGGAAAGCACTGGGGATGCACTGTCCACTTCTGCACTCCACAAGACCCTGGCTGTGACATGCTTTGGGAAGCAAAAACACAATTCAATCAATTTAGTTTTCTAAAGATCTCATTTCCCTTAGGCATCATTTTAAAGGTACTATATGTGGAACATTTAGAACTGCTCACTTCCAAGGCTGCCAGGAACTTCCCATTATGAAGGTTCTGTTTTCACATGTGAACAATTGTGCCAAACTTCAGCCCATTTGGGCTGAAATTCTACATGCTATGTGTTTGCCTCAGGCTCAATTCAACACTCACCTGTTTCCTAGACAAGGATAAGGAAAATACTTATTTTTTGTTCATATTGAAAAATTCCAGTGACATTTCCTTTGAACAGCTGTAGTACCACCAAGGTTTTGAATTTGAGAAGGGATTGGCCTACATTTTATTGGGGATTTCCTTTTTGCTGTCCGAAAGAAAATCCATAAACTTGGCCACGTTACATACCTTTGAAAAATAGCAGTTCCTGCATGTTCAGAAGAGACTTTCTTGATTTAGCAACTAAATTTTCCAAAGTCTGTCTGCACTAGATGTGTTCCAGCCTAGAGCTAAGCATAACTTCCAGTACTCTGGGATGATGAGGGTGCTGCCAGGCCCTGAACTAAGAGGACAGGAGGGACCCTATCTAGCCTATGCTTTCGTGTCCACCACCACCACCTCATTCCTTCACACACACACCCTGGACCCATGTGCCCTAGAGAACAAAGTTGCCTGTCTCAAATGCAAAGGGAATAAGAACTGGACCTATGGGAAAGGGAGAGGAGAAAAGGATTGAAAGGTAGGGTACAGTGTCCAAGGCAAGGAGTAGGAAGGAGAGTAGGAATGGAAGTCCAGAGAAATGAGGCTAGGACTTGCTGACCAATGAGACTGAGCCCAAGATAAAAAGCCTAGGGGGTGGTGCCAAGAACTGAATATGTAAGAAGAATGGGACTGTGATTGAGACCAAGTGTCTGGAGCGTAAGAGAGACAGGACTGGTTCCCAGGTCAGAGGAAAGAGAGGTAAAGAGGCAGAAGAGTCTCTGCAATCCCTCCAACGGCTGAAATGGAACCCAAGATTGCTGAGCCTCACCATTTCTCTTTTGTCAGCAAGGACCTGTGAAACTCACTGGCCCACTCCCTTCGTCTGCTCCATGTAGAGTACAACAACCTAGTCCTGTTCTCAGGTACTTTATTTGCTCAACAGAGACCTGTGTGGTGAACCTAAAATTTCCAAGATTGCTGGTAACCTATCTGGGTGTCACTATTACGATGCATAATAGAATTTGGGTATTTTTCGGTTGCTTTTTCAAATCTAGAAAAATTACACATAAAACATGTTAAAAGAGCATGATGGGTATGAAGTCAAGTACTCAAAAGGTATGAAATGCCAGAATTAAGGATCCCTGCGCAATCTTAATTGGGCTCTCCTTCTGCATATTCCGTATGGTAATTTTAATTATGCGATTGCATAGGCATTTCCTATTTTTTAATTATTGAGCTTGGAACCTCCACTTTCCTTTAACATATTTTTGGTACATGCAACTTTAGCATTTGTTGCCACAGCAGACAAAGGCCAAAATTATGGGTAGGGACTCACTGTGATTGGAGGTGCTACATAAACATACATGAGGACAATTTAAGATACAAATTTACCTTAGTTGAAGTATTTGAATTATATTGCTAATGAACCAGCAAGAAGCGACAACAGTGCAGCTGTAGTTCGTTTGATAGAATTTTTAACAATGCTTACCAGAGTATATTACCTGCAAAGACATTTGCTGCTAATCAAACTACTTGAAAACATACTAAGCTCAATTTTTTGTCTTTCCATTAATATTCTAAGCTTAACCCTGTTTTAAAAATTATTGGGAGATGCAAGAAATTGCTAACTTACAGCAGTTGACTTCATCTGACTTGTCCATGCAGTCATGGTCCCCATCACATACCCACTGTACTGTTATACATCTCCCTTCTCCACATCGATGTTGTGTTACTGGATCACAGTCTAAGAAAAATGAAGAAATAAGAACAAAAAAGAAATAGTGGGAAATAGCTCCAACTCTTTAATTCCTATTTCTGCTTAATTATTTGATGTTCTAGCAACTGGTCATTTTTTACAAACTTGGGAAGTTTCCCCAGTACAGAAGGTCATTGTATCAGCAGTTATTTCTTACTTACGAACCTGTACCTATGATAGAGAATGTCTTGAATGATGCAAAAACTAAGGCTAATACATTTAGATACTTAAGGTGTCACCTCATACAAGATTCTAATGGTGACTGCTGTACCACAGAAAAACATTTTCCCCCTTATAATAGTGATTTAAGTTTACAGTAGCAAATGGGAAATATTTTTGTACTCTGTACAAAGCAAAATATTTTTATACTTTATACATAGACTTTTGAAAATTCAATTTAAAGTAGGTCAAGTATTTTCACTGGTAATTTCTACATGGAAACATCTGTATTGCAGAGTATTTGTATTCAAACTGCAATCCAAACAGAACTTTCAAGTGGTCTATGGAACTGGTTCTCTACCAGTGGCACAGGATATCATTATCTGTCAAGAAATTATGATGACATGAGGTTGATAAATTGAGCAGAAGTTCCAGGACAGTACAAAGAACTGCTATTATTTTGGTAATATTTCAGTGAATTTTTTACATTTGACTCAATTTATAATATTGACTGGAAAAAATAATAATGATTAGTCAGATAAAGGATTAAACTGAACCTGAAAGAGTAGTATAAGGAATACAATGTTGTCTGACTCCCTGAGGCTCAGTTGGTTCAAGAAAGAGACAACTTCTTGACAACTACTATTGTAGCAGAGTCTTGGGGAAATGAAAAAACTGCTGGAAGTGCTAGTGATCTCCAACAAGGATTTGGCAGACTCTGTGACCTACATTACAAAGAAAATAGTTCATGATGTTGAAATAATGTTGATGGCCAGAAACGCTGCCGGCAAAAAAAAACCCTCCAAGGTGAAGGATTTTCAAAGAGAGCTGTTCCAAGTAAAAGATAAGACATACGATTATGAACATAGATACCGACAACAATGAAAAATGTGAGGCTGCAATGAGGAAAAGTAGGAGATAATACTGTCTCTGGAAACTCTATTACTTCCTACTAACTCAGATAAAGATATTAGTTGAGAGATAGAATGGACATACCAAATGTTGGTTCCCAAATGGAAGTAGCTAAAAGTTCCCATCAAACAAAGTAATCGTCAGTAAACAAAGTAATTTTGTCCCCGTCAAACAAAATCTTGTGGATGCAGCTTTCCATTTAGCTACCCTTCTCAGCTAACATGGAAAGAAAATTTCTCCACACACCCACTACAAAACTGCATAAAGATAAACCAATTTACTTTGGACTGCTTATCCTTCTATACTAAATCATTACACTTTGACGTGCTACATTTTGGGGGCAGTTTTCATAAACAAGCACCAACAGGAGGCAGGAGACTTATCTGACTCTTTTATCAGATCTCTTCCACCAATAATGCCATTTTTTTGTCAAACCCTTAGAAAGGGTTAAGTAAATTAATACATTTTATATAAAAAATCCTGAAGTTTAGAAAGTAATCTCCATCAAACTGAGTTTTTACTTCCCGTGTTCTTTTATGTTATTTATTCAAGGAAGTTTTATTTGCTTCCATTCTTTTAAAAATGATTACCAACCACACCAAAGAACCAAGTGCTCAAAACATTGAAGCGGCCAGAATTTTTGTGTAAGAAACTGATTCTGCCAACACAGCTCACAAGGAGTAGCACTGACTTTTACCAGAAAACCAGTGGTAGCAGCTGCAGAGTAAAGCCTAGACCCTGTAAACAAGAAAGCCTGTTCCACACTTTAAGTTATACCAGTTCAAACTTTGGTGTAGCTGCTGTTACACCAGAATAAAGATGTACAGAGATATTCCTCTTCCTCTGCAGGCAAAGCAGGAAGGTTAACTATACTAGTACAGCTCATACATAACTTTGCTCACATGAGAAATCTCACCAAATGTTTAAGTCATCAGTCTACACATATAAGCAAAGTCATGTACACTATTAAGGTCCCTAGCACACATGCAAGTGAAGGCATATGGGGATCTGAGGTGGGATCCTCAATTGCACTTCCTGCCATACCATATGTGCATGGCAAGAAGCATGATTGTAGGATCCAGCATCAGATCCCATCACACCTCATTACTAGTGCAGGGGGAGCCTGGGATCGCAATCCTGAGATCCCCTTACACCGGCAAGTAGCAAGCTCCCACAGTTTGAAGCCCCATCAGCTGATGGGGCTCGCAGTCATGGGAGTGCATCGTGTGCTCCTGTGGCTGAGAACCCAGATCAGCTGATTGGGCTCCCAGCCAGGCAGGCACATGGTAAGATCCCACAGCTGGGAGCCTGGATCAGCTGATGAGGCTCCCAGCCACAGGGGTGCACCCCACACACCTGGGAGCCCAGCCTGGCCACGCATTCAATTCATGACATAATAGGAATGAGCCGCAAAGTTATTATACATTTTTTGTGTAATAACTTTGTGGCTGATTCCTTATGTGATTGCATCATTAATTGCATCACTGTGTGGTTGTATAACAAAGATGTGACTGATTAACTGGTTAATCACATTTTGAGCATAACTTGTGCCACAGACCTAAGTGCTTGCAGGATTAGAGCCTATTCCTTTATGTTTATTTGATATAGATATGAATATTGAATTGTTTAGCATAGCTAGTATTCATTCTTGAAAAATAAAAACAATTAATAATAATGATAAAATAAGTAAATAGTTAATAATGGTCAGAGACTTTTTGTCATGTTTTGAATAGATCTGTGGAGGAAGTACCAATGCCAGAGAAGATAAATTTACAGCAACCAATATCCAAGATAATAAAACCTAGTAGACAGAACAGAAAGGAAAGCTTGAATATTAGTTGCTTATGCAACGTAAAGCACAACAGGAATACAGGATGTGTTTGGAGCTAAATTAAATTTCTTAATAAACTTTTATTTTTCCTCCAAAAATGTTTGCCATTTTTTTCATTTTTTTGTTGGGATTAAAATCTTCATTTTTTCATGTTTGGAAAAATAAATGATGATTTCAGGAAAGCTTTTTTTTTCTATACTTGTAAAATATTTTGGTTTCAGACTGTACAAAAAACTTTACTTGCTCTGCTGTCTACATTTTTTCTTAGAAAAGTGAGATAAAGTGAAACAGAAGTTAAAAAGCAGTTTATTCATTAAAAAAAACAACCTTTTACTTTTGTAAGATGCATCTTAGAGATTAGCATTGTTTTACTTTTTCTGGCTGGCAAAGTCAGAAGATTTTTTTCCAATTTTTCTTTTTAAAAAAATCATGGAAAAAGCCATTGTTTTTCAATAACAAAAAAAATTCACTTGGAGTTTTCCCATTAACACTACTATAAGCAGGAGGAGATTCATTAATAGGCAGAATCCTGAAAGTTGACAGAGAATGGCATTTTAAGCAGCAGTGAATGGACAATTGTCAACCAGGGCAATTCTGTTTTGATACCTGAACAAAAAATTCAGCTTTAATATTTGTTGGCATCCATGATATGCAGTCTCTCTAGGTTTCCCTTTGCCTCAGATATGTTCAGCTGAGCTACCCAGAAAGCTATCAACATATCTTGAAGTTCAGAATGAATAGCAAAATCAAAATCTTTTCAATAAATATGCTTCTGATTTTGCATAAAACAAATATTGTGCAAAAATGCCATTCCCTGAAAACATTTTGAATTAATGACTTATCGATCCCAACATTTTTAAATCCGTTATGAAACCACGCGCATTTTAATCTGTTTTTATTTTCTTAGTAAAGTGGACTCTTTGGGTACATAACTTTCTGATGCATGCAAGGAAAATCATTGTCAGGCAAATACTTAGGAAAAACAGAGGCATAATGATGTAACTGGGTGCCCGAAGCAGCTACCACACACCGGGTCAATGGAGCCATCCCATAGCTGCTGGCACTGCCAACAGAACTGCAGGGTTGCAGTGACAGCTGACCCCTCTCCCTTTCCCCTGCATGTCGGCATACAGGGCAACTGCCCCAGTCACTCTGCACAAGTTATGCCATTGTAGAAAAGCATGTCACTGCCATTTACCACAGTTTTGTTCATCACTCAGGTCTCCACAATCGTCATATCCATCACAGACCATGGTGTAATTGAGACATTTTCCTGTGTTACAGTGGAATGCATCATCACTGCAGTCTGCAAAACAAGTAGTTTACAGCACATCAACAAAACATGATATTAAGTTCTATTTATATAGAAGCAATGCTGTGAGAGGTTAAACTAAATTATATGCATCAACACAGTGCTTTACGGTAGTAAACACACAGGTCCATTATTATATTCTGTGAACCCCTTGGCTCAGTAAAATTTAATGTGGAAGAGTAAGAAGGATCAAAAACCCTTTGTGGACTTTATTCTTTTGGTCCTCTTCCTTGCCTTCTTTATGTGCGATCGATAGCAATGGAGGGGAAAAAAGAACTTACATCACAGAAAAACTGTGGTGTTTATTCCTTTTCATGCTCCTTTCATCTCCTACACACTGCCAACCCAATCCAAGGGAGTAATTTGGAAGAAACATCTTTGGACACTAAACTGAGAATATTCAAAATGTATTCAAGATGTTCAAATAACAAGAGATATCAAGTAACTGAAATATTTTTTCTTCAGATAGATTAAATAAGATAGATAACCAGCTGCCAGATGATTTGGGGGCAAAAAGCATGTAATTTCAACCACCACTTGTGGACTAGTCATGACAAGATTTCATTGTATAACTGTTGTCTGAAGTTCCATCTATGACAGCAGAGTAGAATGTCTTGCCCAGTGATTCTCAGTATTTTTAGACTTGAGGCACCCCTTGGAAAATACCAGTTCTTAGCATTTACTCATTCCTAATTACAGAAAAAGATTAAGCAATTTTCTGTTGGAAAGAATTTACACACTATGGAGACTCTCAAAACAGATACTATGGAGGTCTATTTTAAATCTCTGGGTTTATCCAGTGAAGGTGTGTACACACCTAACTGCTAATATTGCATGGCACCTCGTGGCATGGAAGATCTCATGGAACTCGAGGGTGCTGCAGCATCCCGACTGAAAAATCACTGGAGTTGCCAAATAATAGATGTGCTGCAGGACTATGCTCTGGTATGTACTGTACTACTGAAAAAACAAGAGTCTCTGTTCTGTTATGCACTATACCAATAACCAAAAATACCACATCACAAAATTCTCATGTCATCAGATGTTCAAGGCAAAAAACTGGGATTGAGGATAAACCGTACAGTCAACCTTCAATAAATAACCGTACCCAATCTCACTGTTTTGGTATGCATTATCATGTGATGTGTAAGAATGACACAGAGACATATTCTGCTTTTTTATTTTTGCTTTTTTCATTGGAACGCATTATAACAATCAAAGCAATTATCCTTTTCTTATTAATGTACTTCCAGTAACCATCCAGAAACTGTGTTCTGAGCACATGATGGCAGAGAACAACAAGTATCATGAGAGCAATAGATTTTCTGATTTCCATAAAAAGTTGTCATGGTATAAATCTTCTTTCCTCCCAGAAGTGAAAATAAATTGTGTTTACTTGAGTAGTAATTCTTCAATGGAGGTTGAGGAGGAATTGTGTAAGTCTGCCTGGTAAGAAGCAGTAATATCAACCTACTGCTGTTAAGGTGTCACTCATAAGGCTGCATGACCCTCAAGTACTTTAAAATGAACTACCATGAACTCCTGGGGTTAGCTCTGCAGCACACTAACTTGAAATGACACAAAATAATGGGTGAATTATTTTTTTTCATATTTGATGCTAGTACTAAGTTCACCCAGGTGCCTGCCAAATTATAACTCATGAGTAAGAAACGGATTGAGAGTTAAAATAAAAATATATTGTTTCTTCAGGTCCTAAGACTTTCCACTTCCAATTAAATAAGTCCAGTAACCTTTAAAAATATGACCTGCATTTTGGGGCTCCTTCCATCCCACTGCTGCCAATTGTTTCAGCAGGTTCTCTATATGCCTGAGGTCAGGCATTACACTTTCTCCAGTAAAATGACATTGGCATATAATGTTTTGCTCCTGCAAGTGCCAATATTTTATTAGACCAACTAGATAATTACAAAATAATTTCTCTGTTTGCAAGCTTTCGGGCACATGCACCCTTCCTCAGACACGGGGGAGTTCAAAGATTGTAAAATTTCTCCCAGGTGCAAATGAGGTAAATAGACAACTTTTACTTTTATCTGAGACTATTTTGCATAAAATTAACTTTTCCAACAAGGAGATCTTACACCACCTTTCAGATCTCCTGTGAAATATGAATTATCATTTCCACCTGGGAGAAATTTTACAATCTTTGTATTCTCCTATGCCTGAGGAACGGTGTGCGTGTATCCAAAAGCCTGCAAATAAAACATTTTTTGCAACCAGCTAGCTGGTTTAATAAAAGATATCACCTTGCCAAGAGTCCTGATTACTTGTGAAATGAAGCATACTTCAAGATTTTTCCAGCACTGCAAAAGTCTCTGGAAGAAGCAGCATCCACCCTCCCAGTATATCCCACAGAGAACTGCTCAATTCTTTATTCACAGATGCAAAACACTACTACCATTTTCCCCTTCCTAGCAGAGGTTGGAAACTCATTACAAATCTTAATTTTCAGACTCTTTACATTATACTTCTTTTGTTCACTTTCATGTTTGACTATGTTATGCACCACATGGATATTATAGTCTGTTACGGGCAAATAGAGAGTGGGATGTTTTCAAGGGAAAAAGTATAGACCAGTTTTTAACTAATGCAATGCCAGTTGCAAAGGACACCAAGTTTTCCATATTCAAGCCACTATAATGCAATTTTTTCCATCTTGTTTCATCAATCTCTTTAAAAAAACAAAAAAACCCAACCCTACCTTCTCCAACACATTGGATAAACAAAAGTATTGTGTAACTGGTTAACTATTTAAAGTTGCCATTATTTGAAGCAACAGTTGCTTTGGAAAATAATTCATTGTCTGAGATTAGTAAAAAGCAGTTTAACTGAAAAGACTATCAAAACATATTCCACCCTGCTCTCAGATTCTGCATTGCTATAATTAATTCTTTTGATTTAGCTTTGACTTTGAAAGTACCTTGGCTGTCAACTTCACCTCATGGTCAAGTAATGAGTAGCTGTGATGATGCACAACTGCATGGCACGTGCAAACTATTTTGGCAGCAATGACATTGCTTTCTTCAGGGGTGTCCTCCACTGTGAAATATTTAGCCAAACTGCTGCCAAAATGTTTGGATCTCATTGACATGCAATGTTTCTGTGTGTTTCCGTGCACCTTCTGTTTAATAAAAGCCACATTGGGCATATGGTTCCTTGAGCCACCTCCAGATCCTTAGGCTTTGCAATTCACTCTCTAAATTCAGGTTCCAATAACAGCTCACTCCTCAAAGAACTTTTCTGTCTCTTTTGTAGAGTGTCATTTCCCTTTGTAGTCAAGTGTTTATTGATGTTTTTTTCTCTTCACTCATGGTCAAATTGATGGGCTCCTGGGCTGTGTTCAGATAAGCACAGATGTTTGGCTCCCTGGGAACAGTGCACCTTGCACAACAGCTACTTGTCCCCAGGGAACACCTGTGCCACTTGCACTTTGGTGTGCAGCAAGTTACCCCAGGGGCAGTAGGGAAGTCTGTGCTAGCCCCAGCAGCCTTACCAGGGCACAGCAGCAGTGATTCTTTCATGTGGAGTATGGCTCTGGGTGGCCCGGTTCTGCTTTTCAGCGGTGTGCACTGCCTGTGTGTGCACTGCTCCAGTTTTTTTCCCCGCAGGTTTTTTTGACCCCTGGGTGGTACCTGGCAGTGTGCAGCCTAGTTGGGTGGATCCAGCTGCTGAAAGTCTAAGGAAAAGCAGCAGCTAGGAGAAAAGCAGCTTCAGAGGAGGTGCCCTAGTCACCTGGGGATGGGGCTGCCACCATCTGGATTGGTCCAACTGGGAAGGAGCTTAGATGCCACAAAGGAGCAGTCCAGAGGGTCACGGGAGGGAACTACTAGAAATTAGGCTGAGAACGAGTAGAAACCTAGAGCTTAAAAGAGTCATAGCTAAAGAGCAGATTATTGTATCTGGAAAAAGAAACCAACTGCAAATAGAGACAAATGAATGTCTCCACAAGGTTTGACCAGAACACAGGACTCAAGATCAAAACCTGGCATTCTTCAGATGAAGCAAGGACAAGAAGCAACCTTATCCTAAATCAGCTAAGTGCCCAAACCTAGGAGAGAGGTGGGATTTCAAACAACCCTCTCTTAAGGATTTCCTATTGGTTGGTTTGGGCTTCTCATTCACATTCAACCCGCTGGTTTTTCTGAATCCCATCCTATGTTCAACAGAGCATGAGTTCTTCTGGAAATACAGAGTGTTCAGGAAGTGTGGCATCTCCAGAGACTATCTGGATAGCCACAGCAGAAACTTCCTGGCGTGACACATGGGCAGCACCAGTCTCTTCCTGGTGGGGAAGGATGAGGTGGGCTAGGCAGAAAATTGGGCGGGCTGCACTGTACATCTTCTGGCCAAACACATCTTTCATTGTTTTTAACAATACCTATTTAAGGTGCCATGCCTCTGTGGGCAGTGGACAGAAGCGGGGCAGGCTCACCTGTGTAGGGTGGGTGGTGGTTGCTGGAGGCTTGGATAGGGGAAGCACTGGGAGGGGTGGCTAAGGCAAATTTTGGGGTGGCTATAGGCCCCAAAGCATCCACTAGTGCTGCCTCTGGTGTGACAGAACATTACGCAGGCTAGACACAAGAACCTTGGTAGCAAGGCTGCTACCTCTTTACTCTCAATATTTCTTTATATAAGTTCCTGTACATAATAAAAAGTTGTTTGCATACTACAGGCCTCATTGAGATACTACACTAGTCACTGTTTGAACTCAGGCACTTTACTCAGGTTTGTGAATTCCATTGCCAGTGCTGGGCAACTAAGTTAGGCATGGCTAACTAGCCCTTATATTTTTTTCTTTCCTTTCTCCACTATATTCAGTCCTCCTGATCAATCTGACAGGCCTCTGTAATAAGGCTTGGTGTATAGGCTCAGGCACACCACTCTGTAGCCTGCTTGCTCTTACACTCTCCCGAGAGTTACTTAAATCTGATTTAAGTCAGCTATGAACTAAC